GGCCGCCGCCGAGCGCGCGGCGGCGCTGCAGCGGGAGGAGGAGCTCTACGAGTTCTCCCTCAAAGACATCCCGGTGCGGCGCGGCCCCAAGAAAGCGAAGGGCGCGCAGCGGCCGCCGCTCGTAGTATGACGCCGCTTTGGGGTCTCCTCAGCGGGGACTCGGGCGGGCGCGCAGGCGAGGGTGGCGATGCGCGTGCGCGGGGCGCAGGGGCCGCCCCCGGTCAAGAATGAGGCCGATTACGAATAGCCCGGGTAGATTTAGTCACACGGCTTGATTGCTGAGCATGTTGAGGATTACGTCGCACGTTGGAGATAACTTCATTCTTACAAGTGACAGCCCAAATGGAGTGCTCGCGCAGCCCTGCGCTTGCATGGAATGGCCCCCCGCTTCGAGGGCGGCGGCGCCAGCGCCCCTGAAGGGCCCACGGGCGCGCGCGCGCAGTGCCGGCCGAGCTCGCAGCCCAACGGGCGCGCAGCCGGCCCAGCGACCCGGCCATGCCCGCTGTTGCTGGGTGGGGTGCAGCGACGGCGTGCAGTGCGCGCACACGCGCGCGCGCTGCCTGTCTTTGTCACATTGTTGATGCTGTCGGCTTTGTGATTTGAAAGTTGCCCGCCTCTGCTGTTTTGCACTCGATCGTTGCCCCACTGAGCTTGGCGCCGCTGCTCTGTCATTTCTTGGCGCGGAGTGCTGCGTCGCGTTTTGCGGATTCGGCCGCGTGCGGCGGTGTAACCCGCGTCTTTGCGGAGCGGAACGTGGCACATCAAGATTGCGTCGCACAGCGCGGCGTGCTCGACCTTGCAGGGGAGGTCTCGCGGGCCTTTGCAGGCCGGGCAGCAGCAGGGGGCCGCCGGCCCTGCAGGGCTAAGGCTGGGGAGCAGCGCCGCCAAAGCCTTTCCACGGAGCCGCAATAGGTCGCACTCGTGCTCATTTCAAGATCGCTCTTTGCCCCTGCATGCTGCTGCTGGGAAGTTGACCACAGCTGATTACTAATCATAGTCATGACTGCTTTGCCTTGGCAGCGGTTGCACCCTCCTGTGGGAGCGTAAGAAGCGGATCGCGTCTGCAGTGACACACGACTTGCAAGGGTGCATTGGCAGCGCCAGGCCATGAGTCTGCCGATGCCCAAGCGATCGGTGCTGCGGCAGCCGGCGGCAGGGCTGGCAACGGTCCCATCAGAGAGCGTGCTCGCCGGGTGAAATCAAATGCAACGCAATTCTGGCAACCAAGATTTATGATACCAAACCAATTGCCCAAAAGCAGCAGATATGCTGGGGATGCTGAGAGGTCGTGCTGACCACACCCGCAAAGTACTCGTCTAGGCTAGCTGGCGCCAACCAAGGCTTGGGCGTACCGCTGAGGCAAGCGGGACCACCGGCTGGCAACGGGCGTTTGCGCTGCCACAACACTTGATGTGTCGCAGCAGGTGGGGCAGCACAACTCCACAGACGAAAATCGCGAGCTATAAGCAGCACAACTCGCTAGTGAGTGCCACTGCACGGACGGTAATGATTGACAATCACCAGCAATGGCTCGCAATGATGCATGGGGGCGAGCGACGGCAGCCGCGCAAACGCGGCAGCCACGCAGCCGCCTGCAGCGAAACCTAGTGCCGCCCGCAGCGCGTGCACGCAGGCGCGTTGCGGCCCGTCGCGCCTGGGTTGGCCCTCCCTGACCGCGGGACGCTGTAACAATCCTAATCCTTATCCTAGTTCTCATCCTCCCTCGGCTTCACATGAGGGAGTCTGTGTCCCAGGGGGGGCAACGATCAGAGGCGAGGTAGGCAGCCAGCCGCGGCCGCGCCCCTATGGCCGCCTTGAAGGCCGCCAGGCGGGGCGCGTTCCCGATGGCGTCGTCGTACCACTTCTTGAAGTGCTGCAGGGAGGGGCAACAAGACGAAAAAGTGGCGCGAGGGGTCGGTCAATGTTGCTGTGTATTGGTGCACGATCTTGGTGAGGTGGGCTTCAGAGCATTTTTGAGTGATCATTCAGTGTGAGCCGGCCCGTGGCCCGCAAAGCTAAGAGCGACATCACTCAACAGACCACTGCATGGAAAGCTTGCCAATTGCAACAGCAGCCACGTTGCGCACAAGCACGCCCGCACGCCCTCAAATGCGCCCCTGGAAACCACATTCATCCTCCTCATCCAGACTGCCCTGGTGCAGGCGCAACCCCCCGCATGCACCGACAGCACATGGGCAATCACGCGAGCGCATGAGTCCGCACGATCCAATTTGCCTCGTATCCGCTTGCTTGCTGGCACACGCACGCCTGCAGGCTGACGCACGCACATGCACGCACGCACACACGCTCACAGACACGCGCGCCCGCCCACCTGCTCGCACGCACAGAGGTAGTGCCATGCCACCAGGTCCGCCGCCGTTAGGCCGGGCCCAACCAAAAACCCGTTGTCCTCCGCCCCGGGCCGCTGCTCGTTATTCCAGCGCAGCGCGGCCTCCAAAAACTCGAAGTACTTTGGCAGCCTTCGCAGGTCCAAGGGCACGCAGCGTCGCGCCCGTTTGGGGTGTCGAGGCGCGAAGGCAGGGGGGTGGGCGGGGTGGGATCATGTGGGGCGGGCTGGGGTGGCGGGTAAGGGTGAGGCTGGTGCAGTCCGCGAGACGGCACGTCTCATGTCATTAGGGAGCTTCGCACCAGCCTGCGCGTGCATGCGTGCACACGCGCGACCACGCACTCGCATGCATGCGCGCACACGCAAACACGCCCACACACAAACGTGTGCGCATGCGCATGTGCACACGCGTGTGCCTGTGCACAAGTCAACACACAGAATGGGGCGTACGCTTGCGTGCACAACTGCTGTCCGTGTGTGCCCACGCGCACCGCTTTGCGCCATACTGCTCTATGTAGGGCGGGCAGGCGTCCACCTGCGTCCTGCACAAAGCCAGGGCACCAGATGAGGGAAATAAGAAGCATCAAGGATCAGCGCCAGCTGCCAGGCGCGCGGGCTGTAAAGATCTGTGGGGACAGCAGCAGCAGCGGCGGCGGAAGCGGCAACTAGCAGCAGCAACGCCAGCAGCGACGGCAGCGGCGACAGTCGCAGCCCCCCCCCCGGTGGCAATGGCAGTAGCAACGGAAACAGCAGCGGAGCGGTCTGACTCTCAAGCACGCTCACTTGTGCGATGCGTAGAAGTCCTTTGGGTGGAAGGCTGCCGCCATATGCGGGTGGAAGGGCAGCAGGCAGGCAGCGCCGGCATTTAGTTGGGGGTCAGCCCAGCAAGGCGCGCCTACTGCCACCAGCTCCCCTGCCCCAATGCCGCCCGCTCAATGGCCCGTGCCGGGCTGTCGCACCACAACCCATCAAGATTGCGGGCATCAGTCCGCCCTATGAACCCCAACATCCCAGCGCGAGAGTGCGCGCGCGCGCGTCCCGCTCACCGAGGCGCCCCTCCCCCACTGCGTCCGACAACACGACGCTCAGGATCTGATCCACGCCCGCCTTCTGCTCCCGCGTCAGCCCCTGCCCCCACCCAAACTCCTCATTTAGGTACGAGCAGATCGCCGGCGTGTTGCACATCGCAAACCAGCCCCGCGCGACCGCCGGCGGCGCGCGGAGCGGCGCGTGCGTGTCGTCGGCGGCGTTGGCGAAGCAGAATTCGATGACGGCCTTGAAGCCGGGGTGGCTCCGGATGGCGCCCTCGTCAGTCCAGGAGGGGGCGGGGGCGGCGAAGGCGCGCGCGACGTCTAGGTATGGCACGGCGGCCTCCTCAAAGCACAGCCGCACGTACTCTCCTCGGCCCTGGGGTGGGGGCGAGTTTGGGCGCAAAAATGTACTGCGACTTGCAGGCGGCAGTGCGTCTTTGATTTCAGGACCGGCTACGCATGTGGAGCACTCTTGGGGGTGCATGGAGGGGGGAAGACCAGAGCTGCGGGTCAGAAAGCTGCTTTTGGGGAAGAGTTGCGGTGGCGCGGCCACGGGCTCGTCTGCGAGGGCAGAGGGACGGGGGGCCGTTTTGGGGCATGCGGCGCGATCGGGCGGCGCTTGTTTGTAGCGACCGGCACCTGGTGCAAATCAGGATTACCTTAACGCTGGGCCAGTAGTACAGCCGCCACATGGCAGGGTCGCGCTCGCTGCGCAGGGGTGGCGGCAGCGAGGCATGGCGAGCGTTTGCTTGCTGCCACGCGTGAGGGGCGGACTAGTACGGCAGCTTGGGTCCCCGCAAGGGTAGCTGCAATCCATACGTACGCGAAGCCCTTTTTATTTGCGTATGTCAACAAACCTCTCCTGAGGCGCGGACGCCATACTCCCCTCAGGTGATCTCGTCGCACTGCTGCGACACAAGCTGCGGCACGCCCTGCTCCGCCGAGTGACCGCCGCCTGCGTCGCTGGGTGCTGCGGGCGGCGGTGCGAGCGCGTGCTTGGAGTTGCACAGCGATTCACACCGAAAGAAGCGAAGGATGTTTTTGTGACCAACGTGCGCATTAGGGCTGAAAGGGCCACCTGTTCCGTCCCCTTCCGCAAAACTTAGTTCTCGGCGATCTCGCCGCTGTGCTCGAGGGGCATTCAATTGATACAGTGGTATAATATACAATTATTCAACGACCGAGAGAACCTGCGACCCAGCTTCTAGGATTATGAACGGTATTCACACTCTGATGCTCTGATGCCATGTGACTGAAATGCTTTTTGGAGCGTGACGGCCATGTGACTACGGTACCTGGGTGACAGAACCTTAACCTCAATTGCCCCCAACTGCTGTGACTATCAAACGCGGCGGGCCCGTTCGAGGCGGCGAGCTCACAGCACGCGCCCGGCCTGGGTGCGGTGTCAGCGCACACGCGACAGGGGGAGCCGCAGGGGCTCTATCCAGCCAATGGGGGCGGGAGAGCGCAATCCCACTTTAGCTCACGGCATGCATTCTGGGGAGACACGGGATGGGTCGAGCACTTTCAACAGAGGAGCGGGGCGCTGGGCCCAAAGGCGTGGGGCACACAAGAAAGGTTGGCCATCAACTCATGCGTTGCACACAGCCCAGAAAAATTGAGCGATGCATGAGACATTTGTGTGTGTGCAAACACGCTTGTGTGGCAGGCACAGGCTGCGGATGTGAGCGCAATTGTACCCGCTACCCTGGGCGTTGCTTGGCCCCGCAGTTGTCGCAATGCATGGTCCTGGCACTGGGCCGCCATCTGACCAGCGGGAGGGGGTGGGGACGGAAAGGGAGGAGGGCAGGTGAAAACGAGAGCTCGCATCGTCAACTGCGTTGGGCATCCCCGACGATAGCAGCACCAGACCCGACTTAGCGCCGCCTGCAGGAGAAAGCGGATGTTGGGCGGAAGCCTGCACAAATGCACAAGTTGTCGCTGCTGTCGGCGGCATGCCAGCAGCCGCGTGCACAACGAGAATGGCTTTTCAAGCGGAGTGCGCGCCCACCAATCTGCTATGGTCAACCGACGTGGCATCACTGGGTTGCAGAAGGTTGTTGAGGGGGCTGCACCCCCAAACATTGCGCAAGACAGGTGACTCCTGCTCGCGGCACCTGCATTCCACCTACTTGACCTCCTTCGCACTGAGGCACTGAGGCACTGGGCGTCAGCTTCAGCATATGTTTGTAGCACATCCAGGCAGCCTCGACGGTCAGTTCTCGGTCTATTGTTATTGTGTAACGCAATTCTGGTTATCCGTAGCCGTTGCACAGCCGGCTCAAAACCTCCAACGGCAGATCGAGGCGAAGAGCGCGAATCCGACAGGCCATCTCCGGGCTGCGGCTCGCAACGGATCACGAGCGAGGGCAAGTGAATCACATGCCTTCAGCAAAATATATGTACACTGCCTAGCGCGAGACATTTCTGGACGTATCATGCCTGGTCCAGAGTTTGACCGGCCTGCAGCTGACCTTGCATATGGCGAGCTCAAGTGCAGATAACCGCGCGGGCGCACGCCTGAGACCGCAGGGAGCGCTCCGCGTCACACTATTTGTGCCCTCTGCAGCAGATTTGCGGCAAGCAGCACACGTTTAAGGCCTCGGAAAGGGTGTCACCTTCTCTGTGCGATTTGACAGTGGGCAGCATACATTCTCAGCGCTGCAGCAGGCCCCTCTGGATAGCTATGTTGCTGCAGTCGGATGTCCTTGTTGCAGGCGCTCAAGCAGGCGCGTGCAGTGAAAGTGTTCACAGCACCTGCTGCATAGTTCCCAGCTGCTGCCCAGGTGCGGTTGCGTGGAGAGGCGGGTGACGACCACACCCTGTCTGCACCACACGTCGCACCGACGCAGACAGGCCTCCTTTCAGCCTAGAGGATGTCATAAACGATCAAGCAAAAGGTCTTGAAGATACTTTGCACCACAAAGTATGGGTGGAGCCAGTGTAGGGGCTGGGTATTGCCACGGGAGTTCGAGTCACAGCTGCTGTGATCTTCCCACTGCAGGGGCGAACACTGCAAGGGATTATGAGGCGGCCCCCCTGTTGGTCGCATTCGATCAAAATAAACGCAGATACAGTGTCTTTGTTTAGAGTGCCGTCGTGTCGCTTGTCACTGACCAACACCAGCATGCTCCGAAGGGGCGGAGACCCCGCGTCACTCTAGCCCTGTCGCCGGTGTACACAGCTAACGAACATCTTCTAGGGTAGATTTAGCGCCCGTAACATTGCCGGACAGAGGGCTGCGCCGCACGGTTGGCGTCGGCGCCCCCTGTCGCTCGCGTTTGGCGGATCCTGTTGAACGGCGGCCCGAAACAGGATGGGCTGTGCCTCGTCAACAGAGGCGGGCGCCGCAGCCAGCCAAGGGATGCGGTCAGCCTCGTCCTCCGCCTCACCAGATGCGAAGCAGGCGGCGCTCAGCCTGCAGCGGACAGTCAGCTGGCAGTGCGCTACGCCCAACAGCGCAGAGCATGCAAACAGCGGCGCAGCGGCGGCCGCCGACCGTGCCATCGCTGCTCAAAGCGAATTGTCCAAGGTAAGAGCCAACCATCGTGCGACCCTCTGCGCCGCCGCGCGCCGCACGGCCGCCACGTGGACTCTGGCGCTGCTGGGCAGCTGCCCGCATCGCCGGCGGCTGTGACGGCGTTCCGTTGTGCGGCGCACACACCCGCGGTCGGACTGCAGCCGCGCCGCCCGCCCGCCTTGGCGCCTTGGGGGGTGGGCACCTCAACCGTATCTCATCGCAGGGCAGCCGGGCGCTTGCATCGAGCGTGACATGCCCACGCCACTCGTGCGACCGCATGGGCCCAAAACACAAGGCGACTGCGGTGCTCCAAGGGATGGCGATGCTGAGTACTAATGCGCTGCTGGCGATCCCAGAGGCGGCTGATCTCATAGTCGACCAAGGCAGAGCGGAGCTGGCGGGGTGAGCGCGCCTGCAACCCAGGAACTGCAACGCAGCAAGGCACATGGCAAAGTCACCCTCTGTGCCCCCAATGTTGCGCGCCCGCACGCCCGCGACGCGCGGGGGAGCCCCAGCGGCAGCCCTGCAAGGCGAGGCGAGCGCCTGCCTGGCGCCTCCCCACGCGTCGCACCGCCGCATCACGAGAACCGCTGGACCTCGGTAGACTGACCGCGGGGCCCGCTTCTCCCCTCGTTCCACTCCGACTTCCGCCGCCCTTCCGCCCCCGGACTGCCCCGCCGCCCCGCAGCATCGTGGTGTTTGCCGACGGCAACCTGGACTGCGGCGTGCTGCTCGCCGCCAGCGGCAGGGGCGCGGCGGCGCTGGAGAGGGAGGTGCTCATGCGCGGGCCGGGGTGGGGCGCGCGGCGGGCGGCAGATGCGCCGGGCGGGCGCTGGGTGGTTTCAGACGCCTCCAATCACTCGGAGGTGAGGTCCTGAGCTGCGGGCACCTGCATGTTGGCTGTGGAGGCATGCATGTGTGCGCATGCTTGCGGGTGTATTCGTGCGTGATTGCATGGCCCTGGGGGTGTGGAGCAGGCGTGTAAACGCGTCTGCCTCATACATGCGCAAAGTCAGATGTTGAGCGGCGGCCTCGGCACAGTCGAGGTCAGTTGAGCCGCAGCTGTAGCCACGGTCCCAGGGCTAGCACGCACGCGCGGGGCAGCAGCTGCCGCCCCCCTCGCCCGTTGCGGCGCCGCAGCCCCGCGAGCCTGCCGGCGTCCCTCGGCGCGGGGGCAGCCGCCTCGCATCATCGCCCCACGAGCGACCGCCGGTCTCTGCGGCCTGCGCCCCTCATTTCTCCTGAACGCGTGTTGCGCCCATCCGGTCGTCAAATCTGTAACAGCTGCCGACCGATTTCGAGCGGCTGCGTCATGAAGCGGGCATCGCCAGTTTCGAGGCCGTGGCCATCCGGCCCCCGAGCGGCGGCCAGCCGCTCGGCGCGCTGCTGCTAGGCTCGAGCCGCGCCGGCGGCCTGGGGGCGGGCGACGACGGGTGGGTGCACGGGCGGGGTGGGGTGGGGTCAGGGGATGGTGCACGCGTGGCGACTGCTGTGCCACCGTGCGCGCGCTGGGCTTGAGTGGGTGCAGGCCTATGCGCTTGTGTGTGTGAACAGGCATGTGCGCTGTTGTGTGTGTGTGTGTGTGTGTGTGTGTGTGTGTGTGTGTGTGTGTGTGTGCGTGTCCATGGGCCTGCATGATTACTTCTTCATGAGAGCTAATGTGGTGGGTAAGCGGTTGTGGGCTTGCATGCGCAAATTTTGTGTCGCCATGTGGGCAGATTATCATGCAGCTGACCGGGCACCCCAGACATGGCGCCGCCGACTGCGCGACCGCACCGCTCGCCACCCCCCGCAGCCCGCCCGCCTGGGTCGAGGCCGCCGCCACGGGCCTGCTGCAGCTGCTGCGTCAGTCGTCCGTGGCGGGCGCCGCCACCATGCTGCGCGGCGTCTGCGAGGCACCCGACCCAGTGGCGGCGATCGGCGCGCTCATGCAGGTGGGGCGCGGCGCCGGCGCCTGCGCCTGCGGCCCCTGCCTTGTGCAAGAGCGCTTGCCGCGCAGCGAGGGCATGGCAGTGCCTCTTGGCGCGTCAGAAGCGAGGCTGGGCTAATGCATTGGGGGCGTACGCCGGCGTACAAGGCGCGAACTTGGGGATGTGGAGAGAATTTTGCGTCACCCTCACACAGCGGCCGTGTGCCCATGCTCTCTCACGCCCTCAATGCCTGCTCACATGCGCACGCGTTCCCCCACACCTACGCAGGGTGTCTCCCAGTTCATGTGGCGCGCTACCAACTGCGGCATGTCTGTGCGGCTGGCGCTGCTGTCGGACGACGCCCCTGGCCCGGGGGAGGTGCTGCTTTTTGAGCTCGCGCCAGTCGGTGCGCTTGCAGGGCTGCGTGTGTGTGCGCGCGCCCGCGCGCGCGCGCGTGTGTGTGTGTGTGTGTGTGTGTGTGTGTGTGTGTGCGCGCGCGTGTTTGTACTCGTTGTTGGTGTGTGAGGGTGGGGCACCGCGTCCTGTTGAGTGCGTATTGCTTCGAGGCGGCGTTTGGGATGCCGCGGCGCAGCTCAGCAGCAGTGCCTGCTACGAGACGGGGCGGAGGGTGGCGCACGCGCCGGGAGCCGCGGCGCTGCTCCCAGAATGCGGATGAATTCGGGGCGTTAACGGGGCATCATGGCATCACGCAGCCCCTAGCTGCGCCGGGCGGTGATGAGCCGCCCGGTGAGCCGCCCGGTGAGCCGCAATCTCAACAACAACGCTCCTCATCACCTCCCCACCGCTGCCGCGCGGTGTCGGCTTCCCGCAGGCTCCACAGCCCCCAACGCGCTGCGCAAGCGCGACGGCAGCATCGGCGGCGGCGCCAGCGGCGCCCTCGGCGGCGGCGGCAGCAACCGCAGCCTGCAGGGCGCGACGCTGGGCGCCGGCGCTGAGGTCACCGTGCGCCAGCTGGCGTTTGGCGGCACCCTGCTCGAGCGCGCGGTGAGGCACTTGCACCTCCCCCACCCCCTTGTCGGCTCGTGCGCTGGGCGGACAGCGCCGTTTGTGGTGTTGCTGCTCTGCGCCCGTCTGCCTGTCTCTTACCCGTGCCGGGCCGCCGCCGCCGCCGGCCTCGCCGTGCCGCGGCCGCGGCTTGCGCACCCTCTGCCGTGGGCACACCTTCCCGCAGCCGCCACCTGCAGTCCGCGCACCCTGGAGCACCACCCCCTGATGCCTTGCCAAACCCCCACCACAAATGAAACCAGTTCGGGATGCACCAAGCGGTCACCGTCCATGACGCGACGTCCTACATGCAGAACAGCCGCCGCCCCGCGCCAGACCTCTTCTCCCACGCGGCCCCTGTGGCCAGCCTGGCTGTCGTGCCCATGTTTGTGAGGGACATGCCGCTGGGGGCGGTGTACTTCTGCCCCATGGCGGCGCCCGTGGACTTCGGCAACATCAAGGATGACCTGCTGGTGAGGGTTTCAGGGTTCTGCGTGAAGGTTATGGGATGGAGCGCGGGCTTGCCTTTTTGGCTGTGAGGTCGCTTGAGTGCGGCAAGTGCGGATGCACGCGGCAGTGCGTGTGAAACTCTCCTTGTCCCCCCCCCCAAACACACACACGTAGACATGCACATGTCACACTTGCAGCCTACACCACGTGTACACACAAAGCTCTCCCGGGACAGCCACGAGCTCGCACCTGCCTCCTCACGACCGCCCACACGCGCTCTCTCCACATCCCCAGAGTGTGGTGCCCGGGCTGGCCATGGCGCTGGACTACAAGTTGCAGGGCAACATCAACCAGCTGCACGGCTTGGTCGCAGAGGTGCGTCTTTTGCTGCCAACACACATGCTTTTCTGTCTTCCACTGTAGGCCTGGTAAACAATTCGCGCGACAGGCGCGGAGCGGGCGCCCGTCGGCGACGATCCCGCGCCCCGCCTGCTGCTGTAATGGGCAAGAGGCCATCCTAGGGGAACGGGGATCGCCTCAGCCGTTTGGCGATTTTTGAAGAGCCCCATGTCCTGCCACGGCAACGTGCGGTCGAACAGCTGCCCTGGGCATTGGCCCCCGCCGTTTGCAGGCGCGCATGTCTTTGCCCGGCCGCAGCGGCCCTGTCGGCGCCGGCACCGCCGCGCCGCCCGTGGGCGCCGCGGCGCTGAGCGCGGTCGTTGACGACCGTGGCGCGCCCCTGGCGCAGCTGGGGGATGCCTGGAGCTCTGACAGCTCTGACAGCCCCAAAGC